GCAGCTCCAGGCCCCAGGAGGGTAGTTCCGCCCTCACCACGGCCTCCTCCGCCTCCTCGCCCGCCTCCTCCACCTCCAGCACCTCCAGCACCGGCAACAACTCGTCCAACAAGAACAATCCAACGGGGAACGAGCCGCCCAAGATTTACTCGTGGATGAAGAGGGTGCACATCGGCCAGAGTAAGTCTTTTCTTCTTTTTTATTTTTTATTCGGTAGGAGGATAGGATTTTCTTTTTAAATTCGATTCGGTCAAGCGTTTCTTTTCTTCAACCCCCTGCCAAGGGAGGCGTGCACGTGTTCCTCGGCGAGGGGGGAAGGAAGTTCGAATTTCGAAAAATTCTCGTGTTTCTTGGAACACGAGGGGAAACGGAGGAAACGCGGAGGGAGCACGTTCGAAGCTGTAAATCGATGCGACGTTCTCAATCATTATTGCAATCGAAAGAATATAGAGGTAATAACAGTGACGTTTCCTCGAAACGTGTGCCTTAAAAACACGTTCGAATTTTGTATATATATATTTGCGAATACAATTTGTAAACGCTGTTTAGAGAAAAGCATGGTGGAAAAGTAAGAAGCCGGTTGATTTGTGGACGAGGAAATTTGTGCCAGTGTGTCATAAAAGGAATCCGATTTCTTGCCGGTTTGCGCGATTATTTTCCTGTTTAAATCACGGCTGAAATGTATCTTTGACCGATTATAAATTTCGATGCTCTTCCCTCGTCCATACATTGAAAAATTTCTGTTTGAAGATTGATAAAAAGAGATCTTCTATAGGTCCTGCAAATAGTCAAAAATTAGCTTGAAAATCGACGTATTTTCTATTGCATCGAATCTTGGAAAGATTTTTATTCATTCGCAGCATCCACTCGCGGAGATCGAGTCCTCGAATTTTACGTTCGAAAAGTCGGAGAAAGTAGCGAGAGAGAAAATAATTTCCACTCCCGGTATTTATCACATTTGACGAATACTGGACAAAATATTCTCAAGAGAATATTCTTGAACCCGTAGATAATTCGATTTTATCGAAAACGATCGATTTTATTATCACATTCGTATTCGTATTTTCATCGTTCACCTCACCGAGGTGTAAATTAGCCCAGTCGCGAATGTTGGACACGTTTATAACGCGTAATGATTGGCGATATGAGTGATAGATGATGTGTGTGCAAAAATAGAAAAATAACGTCGCAGTTATTTCGTTTCTATTTTCTA